GCAGCCAAGTACCTCATCGGGATCCCCTTTCACACGTATGCCAGCAACCATCTCATTCTTCACTAGCTGCTGCAAGATGGGCAGGGCCACATGCCCCATTCGCCGATGCAAGGTGAGCCAATCACACTCCCCCGTAGCCGAAGTCGGATTGGAGAATGCCGCACTCGCAATAGTGCCCCACATGCTCTCTCCGTACTCCTCCTCTGCTGCTGCCTTGGGGTTCTCCTCACCCTTGTGCTGCTTCTTGGCTGCTGCACCACTCTCCTCATGTTCACTGAGCTTGTTGGTCCCTCCATGATTGCACTTCTTGGACTCAATCTCCTTAGCGCGACCGTTCGCGCCATCGCCGCTACCAACCGCTTCACCCTTGGTGCTGATGCTTGCTGCCACTTGCCTCTCCTTAGGCATGGGGACCACCAGGATCTGCCACATCTCGTTGTAGACATCCTTATCCTCGTGAAGTTCCCAAATAATCCGCTCGCCAAGCCTCGCGGTGTAGGTCTTAGCTCCCTTCGAGCTCGTATCCATGCCGGCCTTTTGCAACCGCCGCACGGAAATCAGGTTGGCAGCAAGGTTGGGCACCCAAAGCACGTTCTTGAGGCCCACCATCTTCCCATCAGCACCCTTGAACATGGCCTTGCCCATGCCTTTCACCTCTGCTCGCTGCCCCAAAGCCGATGTTACATGCTTCACCGGTGACGGCTCAAGTTCGGTGAGCAAGTCTGCACGAGGTGTCATGCTATAAGTAGCGCCGCTATCGATCACCCAATAGTCCAGGGAGTGTAGGGTCACCTTCCCCACAGCTGCTGGCTCCTCAAAGCCTTCATCCTTCTCTGGACCAGCCGGTGCTTGCGTGGACACGAAGAAGAATTGACCCGGAAAGCGATCGTCCCTCGACTCGCTCTCGTTGTCACCGTTCCTCATATTTGCAGCACCACCTCTGCCACCGCCACGGCCTCTTCCTCTCCCTCCTCCTCCTCCTCTACCCTCTTGGCCTTGAGCAGGGGTCCATCCATCAGGGAGCTTGTAGCAATCGCGCCACATATGTCCGCTCTTGTGACAATAGTGGCACTCGCCGTCGAATCGGCCGCGACCGCGTCCGTAGCTCTTGTTGTCGCTGTCGTATCCGCCACTCCCGCGGCCTCCATTGAAGTTGTTGCTGCCAAATCTGCCTCCCCCTCGTCCTCTGCCCCTTCCACGGCCATACCCTCGGCCGATGCTTGCTGCCCCGGCACCATCCGCTCTCGCCAACTCACGGCGGCGGAAGTCTTCTTGAAGGATCGCTCGCTTCACGTCTTCAAGCAAGAGGCGAGGCAAGTCACGATTGAGGTTGATGATGAGCAAGGACCATGACTCTGGGAGTAAGGCCAGCAACTTGGTCTTCCTTTGGAGCTCACTGTAGTTCAAATCAGCTCCCTCAAGCCGCGTCAACAAGTCGAAGAATTTCTGCACCCCTTCTTCAACCGCTTCGTCTTCTTCAATTCGTAGTGCCGCCATTTGCCGTTCCAACACCACCGCTACCGCCGCTGTTGCAGGAGCGTGTACACCCTTGAGAGCAGCCCATGCCTTTGGTCCCTTCTCTGGTTCACGCTAGAATGGCTTGATGTGACGGATCTGGCTGCACCCCAATGCTTGCCCAAGTAGGAGATAGCCTTGTGCGCTCTTCCGCACCCACGGGCTCTTCTCCGGGTCGTTCTCGGGGCGCTTCTCCATTCCTTCCATCACCTCCAGCAGGTCATAGTGGTCAAATACATTCTCCATCCTGAAGGACCATTCAGCGAAGTTGTCGCCATTGAACTTGTCAAGCCCAAACACCCTAGGCTCATCCGTAGGTGGGCCAAGACTTGGTTGCATGGGCGCCATGGCTGAATCACGGGGTTGGCCTTGAGCTTGGGCTTCTCCACTGCCACCAGCATCTCTACCACCCCTTTCCTAAGGTCCAGCCATTGTCGAAACTGCTCCAAGGGGCTCTGATACCACTTGTTGTAGTCACAATAGGCTTGAATGTGCCTAAAACGAAAGATAGAGTGCACAGTCGGATTTCTGCACAGCGGCTTCAAACGTTGAAAGCGTTCTGCTCACAGCTTCAAACGACTTGCTATAAATTGGATCTGGAGCGTCTTGATGTCGCATACAATAGGCAATTTAAATCACACGATATCAGCAAGTATTGAGGACGCAATATTGGTTTGAACAAACGGCAGTATGGCAGTCACTATAGTCTTCGAACACAAATTAGGAAGAGTTAACGAGTTGGGAATGACTCCCAGCTCCTACAAACTCCAAGAGCCGAGATATAGTGATGTGGAACAGTGCCACACTGTCCCCAACCACGAAGGGTCTCGAAACTACCCTCCACAAGGGCCTACACCAAGAGAAATGTTACACTACAAAAACTAATGCAACTATTGTCACTATCTTAAGTCACTATTCTCGCTATATTGAAGCTCACTCTAAGAGCTTTCAAAAGAGCCAAGTTTCCTCGCGAACAATTCTGCCATTGCAGAGTTATGGCTCAGAGAGCGTTTGCCTAGCGTCGTAGTGCTAGCGTGCTAGCAAAGACTCGGTAGCATTCTGCTGTCGCACCGCCTATAAATGAAATTCCAGCAAGGAAAGAATTCGGTTGAATCAATTTCACTATATCCAGGTACAAACAGAGATGGAATAAACAGTTCTAGCTAGCAAGGACCTTGGGAATCAACCTAGGAACAACCAGGGATGATCCCAAATAATTCCAAGCAATAGAACCAACCTTGCAGGACAAAACACCAAAGTGTTGGTGCAAATTCACATTGCACGACTTCCTGCCGTCTGCTTGTACGAGTATGCGTGTGCGAATGCATTTGGGTTTGAATGGAATGTCCGCGTGTTTCTTTGCTTTCGCGATTTTCGCTTGATGTATTTGCAGGTACGCGCGCAATGTGCGCTTTGGCATAACATTGTACGCGCTATGAACAGCGCAAGTAGAAAGGACGAGCTCGCAAAGGAACCCAAGATGAAAGCTTTGGAGTTTGGTTGAATTGAATGCACAGATTATGTTATATCCAACTCGAAATCATACTGTTATGTTTGGTTAACTATAGTGTAGCACAGCAGGCACTATAGGGGTAAAATTTAGGTGAAGGTTGGATGTTGTTTGTCTGAATCTGCATGCTACAGGATTAGGGGAAACCAGCGGAACCTGCATTTGGCTGGTTGGGCAAAGACAAAATAGGTTCTGTTTTTAGGACCTGAACCTGGTTGTTGTTTTCCGAGGTTGGAAAAATGTTGGTGTAAGGGCCTAATAAACTCAGGCTATTAAGCCGTTATCCAACTTAAAACCTCTCCTCAGGGTCACCTCCAAGGATCCCAGGGTGCCTGGTACAAGACCAGCCCCTATCGTCGGGTCCGAGTTTGTAAAGAGAGGGATCAAGGAGGACTTAGTCAAAATAGCAAGAGTACCTTGAACGTCGCGCAGCGTGCCGTGCAGACCGTAGATCAAATTGAGCTGAGAATTTGCTATATCAAAGCTCACTCTAAGAGCTTTTCAAAGAGCCAAGTTGCATCGCAAAAAGTTCTGCCATTGCAGAGTTATGAGTTGGACAGCCTGTCCTAGCATCGTAGTGCTAGCGTACTAGTGTTGACTCGGTAGCATTCCGCCGTCGCACCACGTAGAAACGAAATTCCAGCAAGAAAGGATTTCGCTTGAATCAATTTGACTATATCTATGTAGAAACGGAGAAGGAATAAATACTTATAGCTAGTAAGGACCTTGGGATTCAATCTGGGATCAACCAAGGATGATCCCAAATAATTCCAAGCAAGAGAACCAACCTGTCTTGACAAAACAGCAGGTGGTAGGTTGGTAAACATCCTCTGGTTCTGTTTTTCCAACATGTGAAAACAACAACCAGGTTCAGGTCCTAAAAACAGAACCTATTTTTTCTTTGCCGAACTAGCCAAATGCAGGTTCCGCTGGTTTCCCCTGGCCTTGTAGCATGCAGATACAGACAAACAACTTCCAAACTTCACCTAAATTGTACCCCTAAAGTGAATTTGCACCCAACAATTTCTAAGCAAAGCACCTTCTCTTGGTACCAACCATATGGGTAAATAAAGCAATTACTCTCGTTACTAACCATATGGGTAAGTAACGTGCTTACTCTCAATACGAATCATATGGGTAAGTAACGTGCTTATTCTCGATACCAACCATATGTGTAGGTAACGCGCTTACTCTTGGTAGCAACCATATTGGTAAGTAACGCGCTTACTCTCGGTACCAACCATATTGTAAGTAATAAACTTAATCTCGGTACCAATCATATGTGTAAGCAAGGCACATACTCTTGGTACCAGCCAAATGCTGGTTACGCTGGTTTCCCCTGGCCCTGTAGCATGCAGATACTGACAAACAATATCCAACCTTCACCTAAATTGTACCCATATAGTGCCTCCCCTGCTACACTATAGTCAACCAAACAAAACAATACAATTTCGAGTTGGATAGAACTGAATCTGCGCAATCAATTCAACCGAACAGGAAAGCTTCCATCTTGGGTTCCTTTGCAAGCTCGTTCTTTCTCCTTGCACTGTTCATAGCGCGTACAAAGTTGTGCCAAAGCGCACATTGAGCGAGTATCTGCAAATGCGTCAAGCGAAAATTGCGAAAGCAAACAAACACACAAATATTCCATTCACATCGAAAAGCATTCCCATACGCATAGTGGTACAAACAGACGGCAAGATGTCGTGCAATGTAAATTTGCACCCAACACACTTCCCCTCAGCCTGCCGGTTGCATTCCAAATCATTCCATGCTAGTTCATGCTCATTCCACTCATACGCACACAACGCCAATGAGGCTCATCCGCAAGCCTCTTGGTGAGGAAGTCCTGATATAGATTGGACTCACTGTCCCTTTCTTCAGCTCCTTACGCAGCGAGTGCTATTTGATACGCATATGCTTGTTCAGCCCGTGAAGCACAGCGTTCCTAGCCTTCCCAAGAGCCCCCTTGCTATCACAAAACAGCGGCATAGCAACCTTCTGCTCCTGGCCAATCTCCTCTAACAGCCTCCTCAACCCCATGGAACATCGCCATGTACTCTGATTCCACGGAAGAGAGTGCTGTCTCTGTCTGCTTCTTGGACCTCCAACTAACAGGTCCTCCCCCAACTATGCAGATGTATCCTCCCACGGATGAGGAATCCTCCTTCTCAGAAGCCCACATAGCATTGGTAAAGCAAGTGAGAAACAGCTTGCCTTCTCCAAGCCGCTCCCCCTTCTCTTTCAGCACCTCAACCCCTTTCTGCTTCACCTGTGCAGATGCGGAGTATTGAACTCCAATGCTTGGGTGAGAGTTCAGGTACTTCACCACACGCTCAGCTGCATCCACCTGCTCCTCTGATGGATTCTGCACCACCCTAGCCAGCTGTTTAACAAAAAAAAGATATGTCAGGCCTCGTATGAACCGCTGCATACAAGAGGCTGCCCACCAAGGACTGAAATTGCTGCTGCTCCTTGGCTTCAACCCCTTCATCATCGGCAGCCTTCACAAGCTTGAATTCAGCTGGCAGGGGAGTTGCAACCTTGTGCTCATTCTCAATCCTATACTTCTCCCTCAGCTCCTTGATGAACTTCTCCTGGTGCAGCTTCAACCATCTGTGATCCAGATCCCTCTCTACATGCATCCCGAGGTAGTACTTTACCTCCCCAAGGGTCTTGCACTTGAAGTTCTTCATCAGCTGCTGTCGCATATTCTGGATCTCCTTCATGCTGCTGCTAAAGAGAAGAATGTTGTCCACATAGACCAGAAACAGCACCAGATTCTCCTCCTCCCCCTTGAGAAAGAGGCTCTCATCACAGCTGCTGGTCCTGAATCCCATCTCCTCTAAAACAGCTGCCAACTTCTGGTACCAGCAGCATGGCGCCTGCTTCAAGCCGTAGATGGACTTTTTCAGCTTGCACACCCTGCCCGTACCATCCTCATACCCAGGCGGCTGCGTCATGTACACATCCTCCTCTAAAATCCCATTGAGGAATGCCGTTGATATAACCATCTGAATGATGGATTCCCCACTAACGGCTGCATCTGCCAACAAGACACGGAGGGTAGGGGGTTTGGCAGTGAAAGCAAAGATCTCATTGAAGTCCTGCTTCTCCTTCTGCATAAACCCTTTAGCCACCAGCCTACTCTTGTAGATGGTGACCTGTCCCTTGTCATCGGTCTTGATCCATAGCACCCACTTGCACTGTACGGCTTTCTTCCCCTCTAGCAGCACCACCAGATCCCATGTCCCATTCTCTAGCAGGCTCTGGTACTCAGCATCCCTAGAAACCAGCCACTTCTCCCTATCTGGTCCAGCTAATGCCTCCTCCATGCTTGCCGGTTCCTCTGGTGCAGGGGCAAGAAAACAGTAAGAAGGTTCATCCTCCTCATCCGGGTCATACCATGCAGTAGAATCAGCAATGCCTCCTCATTCCCAAGCTGCTGCTCAGCTACATCAGCTCCTGCAGTCAGCTTCATAGTGGCCATACGGGTACGTCCTGGCCTAGACACGGGTGTCTCCCACCCCTTCATAACGACACCCTTCGGCTTCCTCTTTTGTCGTAGTGTAGGAGCCTTAGCCTTGCCCTGCTTCTGCTCACCCTTAGGTCCAGCGACTCCACGAGTGCTACCACTAGCCTCTACACCACCTCCTCCACCAGCAGGTGCCTCCTACACCTTCTCTCCATCACCACCCTCTGCAACTGCCTCCTCTCCCTCCTTCCACACACTAGGAGTCAGGTCCAGCTGCATAGTGATCTGCTCCATCTCCTATTTTACCTCGGCCTCCGGCTGTTTCTTCCTAGCCCTCAACAAACTTCACATCCCTGCTGTCAAACAACACACCTTTGCGTGGTTCCAACAGCAGCCACCCCTTGCTCTTAGCAGCCAGTCCCAAATGCACACACCAGATTGCACTCGCCCCCAACTTACTTCGATACTTCTTGGGGACGTGGGCGACTGCCATGCAACCGAACACCCTCAGCATGTCTACCGGCGGCTTCCTCCCAAGCCACCTCTCCAACGGCACCCACGAGTCATCACCAGACTTATTGAGCACCCTGTTCCTAGCCACGGTAGCGTGTCGGACAACATGGGGCCACATCGAATTTCCCACCCCTGATTCTATGAGCAGCGCCCTAGCTGTCTCCAGAATGGTCCGGTTCGCCCGTTCTGCTACACTGTTGGACTGTGGGGTGTAAGCCGTGGTCAGCTCCCTCTGAATGCCCTGCTTCTTGAGCCAGACCGTCTTTTCAGCTCCAAGAAACTCACCACCCCGGTCTGTCCTAATCCGCTTCACCACACACTCCGCTTGCTTCTCCACGAATGGCAGTCAATCTTCCCATATCGTGAAGGTGGCGTGGTCCTTTTGCTTCAGCGGATACGCCCACATCAGTCTGCTCCAATCATCCACAATGGTTAGGAAATACCGCTCCCCCTGGTGCCCTTGTACCGACAGCGGCCCCACCAAGTTCATGTGGACCAGCTCTAAAGGCTTCTTGCTCCTGCCCGCCACACTGTGGAAGGGAGAACGGGTAAACTTTGAGAGCAAACATATTTCACAAATATCATCGGGTGGCTGTCCCTTCAGCTTCAGACCCCTAACAGCTCCATCCTTCTCCAACTGCTTCAACAAGGGCATTGCCACATGATTCAAACCCTTGACTGCTCCATCCTTCTCTAGCTGCTTCAATAAGGGCATTGCGACATGCCCCAAGCGTCGGTGTGCCGTTGCCCAATCTGTCTCCCCAGATCTGGCTGACACTTTCACACCAACCCTTCGAACGGCGTTGCACTCCCCCTAGGATGTAGACCCATCTCTAGCCTGCCTCCCACCGTGCGACGCCAACACCGGCAGCTGCCACATGGATCTGTACACATCCTTGCTCTCGTGCAGATCCCAAAGCACCAAATTGCCGAGCTGCCCCTTGTAAGTGCGTGCCCCATCCGTGCTAGTGCTCACCCCAGCCTTGGCAAGCTCACGGAGGGAGATGAGGTTGGCCTTGAGATCAGGAACAAGGAGAACGTCGTGCAGCACCACCGGCTTGCCATCCGCTCCCTTGAATGCAGCTCGTCCCGCACCAGCCACCTTCAGCGCGTGTTTGAAGCGGAGCACACCTCGTTGATCGGTGCAGCTCGTACGTCGTCAAACAGCTCTTTGCGTGGCGTCATCGTCCATGCGGCGCCCGTGTCCAACACCCAATAGTCCAGGGGGTGTAGCTCTTCTCCAAACTTGACAGAGGCGTCTCCTTGCTCCCCCTGCTCTCCAAGATCGAAGAACTGGCCCGCGATGCGCTCCTTCTTCTCTGCACCGCCGTTGCTCTTCGGGTTGTTGTCGGACGAATCGGAGACCATGTTCGCGCCGTTTTTCTGGTTCCTCCACGCCCCGCCATCCTGGTGACGATTCTGGGGGGTCCATCCATCAGGTTTCTTATAGCTGGAAACCCAGGGGTGTGGAGACGACGACAGCAGCAGCTACAGGATGCAAGGCAGCCGACGTGGCAGAGGACGTGGCTTCGGTGGTGCTGGACGCGGTGCAAAGAAAGACGACGACTCCAACAACCAACAAGGAGGTATCGGTTGGGGTCGCGGTGCGAAATCTGGACGTGGGGGCAAGTCGGGTGCTGGTGGCAAAAAGAAAGGGAGTTGCACCAAGGAGGGGCACCCCTGATTTTTGTGCTATAAGAAACCCGATGGATGGACCCCCCAGAATCGTCAACAGGATGGCGGCGCGCGGAGGAACCAGAAAAACAGCGCGAACATGGTCGCCGATTTGTCTGACAACAACCCGAACAGCAACGGCGGTGCAGAGAAGGAGTGCACCGCGGGCCAGTTCTTCCATATTGGAGAGCAGGGGGAGCAAGGAGAAGCCTCTGCAAAGGTTGGAGCAGAGCTGCATCCCCTAGACTATTGGGTGTTGGACATGGGTGCTGCTTGGACGATGACGCCGCGCAAGGAGTTGCTTGACGACATACGAGCTGCACCGATCAACGAGGTGTGCTCTGCACTGGACACGCGCTGAAGGTGGCTGGTGCGGGACGAGCTGCATTCAAAGGAGCGGATGGCAAGCCGGTGGTGCTGCACGACGTTCTCCTCGTTCCTCATCTCAAGGCCAACCTCATCTCCCTCCGTAAGCTTGCCAAGGCTGGGGTGAGCACTAGCACGGATGTGGCACGCACGTACAAGGGGCAGCTGGGAAATCGGGTGCTTTGGGATCTGCACGAGAGCAAGGATGTGTACAGATCCATATGGCAGCTGCCGGCGTTGGCGTGGCATGGTGGGGGGCAGGCTGGAGAGGGGTCTGCATCCCAAGGGGAGTGCAACGCCGTTGGAGGGGTTGGTGTGAAAGTGTCGGCCAGATCTGGGGAGACGGATTGGGCAACGGCACACTGATGCTTGGGGCATGTGGCAATGCCCTTGTTGAAGCAGCTAGAGAATGATGGAGCCGTCAAGGGTTTGAAGCTGAACGGACAGCCACCCAATGAAATTTGTGAAATCTGTTTGCTCTCAAAATTCACTCGTTTCCCCTTTCATAGCGTGACTGGCAGGAGCAAGAAGCCTTTGGAGCTGGTTCACGTAGACTTGGTGGGGCCGCTGCCGGTGCGAGGACACAAAGGGGAGCGGTATTTCCTAACCATTGTGGATGATTGGAGCAGACTCATGTGGGCGTATCCGCTGAAGCAAAAGGACAACGCCGTCTCTATGATACAGGAAGATTGGCTGCCATTCGTGGAGAAGCAAGCGGAGTGTCTAGTGAAGCGGATTAGGACAGACCGGGGTGGTGAGTTCCTTGGAGCTGAGATGACCGCTTGGCTCAAGAACCAAGGTATTGAGAGGGATCTGACCACGGCTTACACCCCGCAGTCCAACAGTCTAGCAGAACGGGCGAACCGGACCATTATGGAGACAGCTAGGGCGCTGCTCATAGAATCAGGGGTGGGCAATTCCATGTGGCCCCATGCTGTCCGGCACGCTACCGTGGCTAGGAACAGGGTGCTCACTATGGTTGGTAATGAATCGTGGGTGCCGCTGGAGAGGTGGCTTGGGAGGAAGCCGCCGGTGGACATGCTGAGGGTGTTCGGTTGCATGGCAGTCGCCCACGTCCCCAAGAAGTATCGAAGTAAGTTGGGGGCGAATGCAATCTGGTGTGTGCATTTGGGGCTGGCTGCTGAGAGCAAGGATGGCTGCTTTGGGAACCATCCAAGGGTGTGTTGTTTGACAGCAAGGATGTGAAGTTTGTTGAGGGCATGATGTATAGGGGCTGGAAGAAACAGCTGGAGACTAAGGTGTCCCAGCAGATGGAGCAGATCACCATGCAGCTGGACCTGACTCCTAGTGTGTGGGAGGAGGGAGAGGAGGCAGCTGCAGAGGGTGGTGATGGAGAGAAGGTGCAGGAGGCACCTGCTGGTGGAGGAGATGATGTGGAGACTAATGGTAGCACCAAGGAAGCTGCTGGATCTGAGGGAGGAGAACAGCAGCAGGGAAAAACTAAGGTTCCTGTGCTACCATCAAGGAGGAAGCTGAAGGGTGTTGTTATGAGGGGATGGGAGACACCCGTCTCCAGGCCAGGACGTACCCGTATGGCCACTATGAAGCTGACTGCAGGAGCTGATGTAGCAGAACAGCAGCTTGGGAATGAGGAGGCATTGCTGATTCTACCGCATGGCTATGACCCGGATGAGGAGGATGAACCTGCCTACTGTTTTCTTGCCCCTGCACCAGAGGAACCAGCAAGCATGGAGGAGGCATTAGCTGGACCAGATAGGGAGAAGTGGCTGGTTTCTAGGGATGCTGAGTACCAAAGCTTGCTAGAGAATGGGATATGGGATCTGGTGGTGCTGCCTGAGGGGAAGAAAGCCGTACAGTGCAAGTGGGTGTTAAGGATCAAGACCGATGACAAGGGACAGGTCACCATCTACAAGAGTAGGCTGGTGGCTAAGGAGTTTATGCAGCAGGAGAAGCAGGAATTCAATGAGATCTTTGCTCCCACTGCCAAACCTCCTACCCTCCGTGTCTTGTTGGCAGATGCAGCCGTTAGTGGGAAATTCATCATTCAGATGGATATATCAACGGCATTCCTCAATGGGATTTTAGAGGAGGATGTGTACATGACGCAGCCGCCTGGGTATGAGGATGGTACGGGCAGGTTGTGCAAGCTGAAAAAGTCCATCTACGGCTTGAAGCAGGCGCCACGCTGCTGGTACCAGAAGTTGGCAGCTGTATTAGAGGAGATGGGATTCAGGACCAGCAGCTGTGATGAGAGCCTCTTTCTCAAGGGGGATGGGAGAAGCTGGTGCTGTTTCTAGTCTACGTGGATGATGTTCTTCTCTTCAG